ATCCTGTTCAATACAGTAGATTCTCGAGTATCCGAATCAAATAAAACCAGGCGTGTATTCCTTATAATTGAGAATCCGGATTCAATGTCAAATCAAATAATATGTAATATTTTTTTTTTTTATTATTAGTATGTAAAGGGTTTTACATACGTCATTTAGTCAATATGGTATTAAATAAAATACGAGATATGAAAATAATGTAAATTACATAATACCTATTTAACCCAATTAATACATAGTACTATTTCTAAATCTGTAATTAGACCCGTGAAGAATAATTCCAGATAATCGAATATTCGGATAATCGATGTTGGGATAATCTTGACTGTAGTATTGTGTATACCTTTAGAAAGCAGAAATAATACTTAGAATTTATTATTGAATTTTTTATATATGAGTGTATAAGAATTTAATATTGTATATATTTCTATTATCAACTAATTATTAGTATCGGTTAATAAACTTTAAAAATATTTTTAAATGCTGTAACCGTTCATTCAGGCACCTTGAGTCATAGGTTGAAAAACTTTACCCCTTGACTTGGCGGAATTCGAACCCACATCTGCTGTCTTCATTTTTATAAATTTTTGTATTTTTATTCCTTGACACTTCAAATTATGATGTGCTACGAGCACTGATCGTTGTTTGTATGAAATTTGTTGAAACTGTATCTTATGGTATTGTCATTAGGTTCAGTTTAGTCAATCACAGTCTGAACTTAATGGTTGCACTTATCCATAATTCGGGCACAGAATTGTTCTCTGGCGGTTGTTCCTAACAACGTTGTTTATCTTTTGGCTTGTTACCTTATTCAAAAATATGTAAGCATGTCCAATTATCTTTCTATGGATATTTGAAAAAGAAATTTTCTTCCCCAAATCGATAACCGTCAACTGTGATTGTAGGACACAATTAAGACATAAGAGGTTGGAAGGATCGAAATTTACATAAATGGAGTTATTGCAGGCTTTAAATATTTTTTGTGAATATTATAAAAATAAACTTGTATAAAGAGTGACAGTGGTGAATATACTAGTAGAAATCTGAAAATATTTTAGTCTGGTAATTTATGTAACTGTATGAAATTATACTTTTGTTAATAAAAATTTTTTTGCCCTACTTTTTACCATACTGGGAATTTATTTTTTTGCCATACTGGGAATTTTGACCCAAAAGGAACAGATCGGACTTATCGTATTTATTACAGTATGCCTTCATAATGCTATTACTGATACCACGCAGTTCCTTGAAGACTAATTAAATTGAATAGTAACGCAATTACTTTGCTCTTTATTATATATAAATCCAGGTAGAGTAATCAAGTAGGTATGGTCCGAATGATGTTTAGCGATTATCATAGTCAGTGCTTATCACGTGTGATCTTCACACCCCCTAATCTTAGAAATAAATTTATCTATGGCGTAACAACAGCGACAATGCTGCAAAAAAACAATAGAGAGAACAAAATAATAATCATTGTATTGTTAGTTTATTCTTAAAATAATTATATTTTTAAAATTGCAAGTTATTATGAATATAAGTTAGGGGCCGTAGCTGTCAGCATACCTTTGCGCTACCGGCAGCTACTAAAATATATCAGCGTGTAAAGTTTTCTCTTGTTATGCTCGCTACAAAATAAGACCACTGCTGAATAAACAGTGGCTTTCTTTCACACTAAAATGTAGCGACGATCTATCTTATTTCTCTTTGTATTTCGTATTTTTCTTTAGCTTTTTCACGAGTTCAATGTAGTGTAAGGGGTTGAATTAGAATTTGTATACTGGTACAGTATTCATCGTAATTCGTCGTTCAGTATAGGTACATACAGAGAGAATGCTTGTTGGCTAATTTAGTTTTTAAAATCATATTCTTAACCTGAATCACAGTATCTAAACGTTACGATGGATACCTATATAGTTTAAAAAGATTTATATTTTAATTAACTATCATTGGTCATAAATAGATACTATTAGTCTTGCCTATAATTATTGCTTCCGTGTTTTTTACATAGTTAAAATATCAAACATTGCACTTACATGCTGTATATTAGAATTCTCACTATATATTAGTTTTGCTTTAAGCTCTTCAGTGGCGGATAGAGTTTGAAGTCTAGCATTCAGCTTACATTGGTGCATGAAACTTACTTTGAGTTTAAGCTACTGAACTTTTTGTCACCGTCGTTTGTATGAAGCTACGATTTAATTCCGACTGTTATCGAGGTGAATATTTTCTGGGAAAGCGCTTTAAATTTCGGGGAAATTACAAAAAAAGTATAGGAAAAAACGTAGTAAAATATTTTCTGTTGAATGAAGTGATTTTATTAATTCTTTGAATCGGTCTGTCCTTTGTCAATCACAACATGATTTCATTATCATGTTATATAATTACCATTGTGTTTCAAAAAAAAGACCGATTTTGATAAAATTCCTTTGAGATCAATCTCTAAGTACTAGGCATGGATAATATCGGTATCGCACCCATATTTGTATATTGAGTTCCTTTTGACATTGATGGCGAAAAAATTGTCATTATCCATTTTGAAGTCTCACATACAGGTCTGACATCATTTTGATATTGTATATTGGATAATAGATATTTAACATATTCGTTATTAGACCAATATGTAGATATTGTAATCAAAATGTATAGATAATCTTATATATTTCCCACCCCTACTAAGTACATCCTTTCATATAAAGAATTTTCTAAATCGGTATACAACTGACAGAGTTAAGAGGTAATAAGCAAAAAAAATATACAATCGAATTGAGAGCCGGAGAACTTTTGAAGTCTGTTGAAAATAGATACTCTAATTAATTGTTGGGTTAAAATAAATTATCGTCTTCTCCATAAGGAGATGGGTTCCAAGGTGAAATTTATATCATTTAGTTAATACTATCTTATAGTTTTAAAAAAATCAGCATCAACAAAATTTTATAAATTATAAATTAGGTTTGTCAAACATATATTTCATTCATTATTTCATAGTAACCTAAGAGATTAAATATTACCTATAAAATTTTTAAATTTAAAAAGATAATAAAAGAAGTATCAATGATGCACCTTTTTGATTTCCTTTTTAATTTTACTAAAAAAAGTATTTTTTTGTGACATGTGGTAATTCTTATATTTTTTTGTTCACTTTTCTTTTTCTCTTTTCTGCTTTGTATATGTATATCTATAATTATATTTGCTAAAGACATCGTGTTTCTATACCAACTTACAGACGATTCGCACACAAGATGATCTTATTATATACGTAAAAGATAATTTCAAAGTTTATTTACATATGCAACGTCACGAAATTCTCGTAACACAAATTGTACTTGCTTTTGCCGCTTTATTTTAATTTTAATATTTCCTCTCAAAAATTGGACACAGATATGAAATGTGTTTTATTATTTCACTTAAAAGTTCATTACTACACAATATAGGTTTGAAATATAACTTGTAGTAGTAATATTTTTCTATTTATCTCTAAAGTACTTGCAAACTTACATCTTCACGATACTGCAATATCTTTTTAATGATTTATATAAATAAATAATAAATAAATAAATAACTTTATTTCCTTAAATAAAATTAGCCTGTAGTACAGAATAACTATGATAAAAAATATATATAAACAGGATATATGTTATCTTTATGACTATCTCAAATTTGTAGGGTTATATTTAAACGTAAACGTCCCTTCGAAGTAACAGAAAATTACATACGACAACGACCGTCGGCATCAGTTTCAATTAAATAGTTGCCTGCTACCGTCTGGTGTCCGTTTCAATTGTATGACGTGTGAAGTGCCTTCTCTTAATATATGGTGGGTCTAGCCGTATTGTTTTAGTTTTCTGCAACTATCGTATTATAATTTTGTTTTTATGCAAATTAGAATAGCAAATAAGCTGATGGCCCACCTGATGGAAAGTGGTAACTGTCCCCTATAGACATGAGCAATACAATAGACATATCAAAGTACATTGTTTTGCCCATGATACTCCCATGCGTTGTCATTCTTGAATAAATAAAAACTTTAGATTACAAAATAGTAGACGCCTTGATTAAAAAAAAAAAAACCGGTCAAATGTAAGTTGGACTCGCGCAACGAGGGTTTCGTACAAAATCATGAAATTTTAAAAAAAATATTGTTTAGTAAAATAGTTACAAATTTACTGTTTTTGGATTTTTTCCTTTATTTGTTGTGCTACATAACATTGCTTCTTGCCAAATTTCATGATTCTAGGACAATGAGAATATAGGTTTTATTTTGCTTTGCGAATATCGAAATATCCTATATAAATGGAACATAAAAACTCCCTTATCATTTGGTTGCGTCGATTTTTTCCCTTGCTTTAAGAGGTTGCAGACCTAAGTGTATGATATTATTTTCAACTTGATACCGCCACGAGTTCCTAAGAAAAAAGTCTTGAGAGACAGACGGATGGACGGACAATGAAATGATCTTATAAAGCTTTCATTTTTTCCTTTTAAGGTATGGAACCCTAAAATTGAACCAAAAGAATTATGTTAAAAATAGTAATTCTATTGTATATATAACTTCTTTATATTCTGTACAGTTAACCAGCTATGTAATATTAGAGCATTCGATTCATTGACGTATAGTTTTGAACGTCACCTCCGTTCAAATAAATTATTGTGTCGCTGATTTTTAACATATTACATTCGCGGTCAAGAACCTACGACCGCGTCATTTACTAAATTATCTGTAAAGTGTTAATTTTAAATTGTTATAGATTGAAAATTAGATTTATAAATTGAAAAAAAAAAGAAAGTACAAAGTTCTTTAATGTATTATAAATTCAATCCATACTGGCCCTAAAATAAACGATATGGTGATATCAAATGGAAATTTTAGAAATAGAAATTATCGCTTCATAACCCGCTCCGCTAAAATTTATTCGCCAAAAGTTTCATCATTATCTTAAATCAATTTCAAAACAATCTACAAAAATAGAAGAAAATAATAACTATTATCTTGTTCACAGGGTTATCCGCCACCGCCAAGGCCTGCACAGCCGTCCACGCCAAACACCCATGATCCTGACTCAGTAAGTGTTAATGTACTGCATTTTATATGATAAATTTATTAATTAGATGCATTATTCATTTTTCTTATTTATATATTATACAAAGTATTATTAATTAAGATTCACTTAACAACCGTCAAAGACTAATGGGAAGTTTATGCTCTTCTAATCTGTAAATTATGCGACAGTGTAATAGTGCGATCTCAATTTAAATGGCCATTAACATTTGAATTTGAATGGAGTGTACGGTGGGAAGGCTACAATCAATCATGACAGCTGATGAGTCAAGAGTCGCGTATTAAAATGCTATCAGATTCAACCGTTTACTTGAGTATAAAATCCTAGAAGGTATCACGCGAAGTAACTTGAGTTTTTTGTGTAAAAAAATACTGGAATCTAAATACAAAAATCTAAATTGTATGTGAAATTATTTCTAGAGACAGAGATGAACGCTGCATGTATCTCAAACTATATGAAAACTAAGCATGTATTAAACTACTTGCGTTCATGTCACAAAAGCTAGTTTGACAGCAAATAGCAAACATTTTTCGCACTGAGATCTTTTGGCAATATCATCATTTAATGCATTTCATTTAATATAAATTTTATTTAGAAACTCTAAATTGTAAATTTTGCCCAAGTCCGTAGAGTCCTAATTGCAGACTAAAAATTTACAGATATAGTATCTATATATGTCCATATCTGTGCACGTTTCAGTGTAAGATGGTGTTTGTTATACACTAATGGCTGAATAATGTAGGCGTTTACTCACGTAAATAGCAGAGTACAAAACGTTGTTTCTAACAACGTAGTCTCCTGTTTGTCTCGGTACTTATTTATTTCTATAGGAGTTTACTTGAAGTCCTAAATATTACGAGTAAACACGTGCACATAGTAAAATATAAATATTACAATAAACTCTACTATTAAATGTCTTGTTTATAATGTTTGAAGGCTTTTGATGTTTTTTAATTTCAAGATTTTATTATAAAAATATCTACGGAAAATAAATATATAAGGAAGATGGTTTACGCGATATCTTCGTCAATTTTGAACCGCTTTTGATAATTCTGTTTGCATTCGATAAGGTTTACTCCCGCGTCGGTCCCATGTAAATTCTATCACGATATAAGGCTCTATTTTATATGAAACTAAGTTTTAAATAGTATCAAAATCGTTGTCGTAATTTCAGCCATTAATTCGTACTTATTAAAGTGCGAATAGCTCTTCATTTATTGAAATCCCCCAATACTTTTAAACCAAATTTTTGGTCTTTGGTCTTCAATAATAAAATGTTAAGCTGTTCTTTAGGTTATAAATTTTGATAAAAGAACCTTTGAAAAAAAACATCATTAGGTACGCTTCTTTCTTTCTGTAATGTTATGTCAGTGAGGTAATTGTACAATGTGTGTCATTATATACAATCCTTTTAGTTATTCCTTATCACTTTACATCGTATTATTGTTAATATTGTTAATTCGCTCTTGGAGACCTTCGTCCACGGTTCTTCGTGTTGGCCTACGAATTCTCATGATCCTTAATTAGACATCTTCGATGTATTCCCATTTTTGTTGCGGATGTTACTAGAGCATCTTGTATAAGCATTTATATGAATTATTGTTGTTTTTTATAAGTAGGTATATCGATTATGTAGCTTTAAAACGTTGTGGATTATCCTGCCATTTAAATGGAAATTCCATTTTATGTCCCGTATTCCCTTAACAAAGACTTTAGTAAATATCACTAAATAAAAGATGTTCAAAACTCAACTATCGAAATGAAATGTTACCAAATAGTTGGGGAAAGTGATGTGATGAAGATTAAATTGTATTTTGCCAGACGGCAGTTTTTACGTACAGGGACCAAAATTTCATGTGCCTGTTCACAATATTCACAGAGGGAGGCGACGTCGAAAGAGACCGGCGTCTGCGAAATTTCGAATATTCGTATTCTGCTATTTTGTTACTTGTTAAATTACTTTATTTATAGACGTTAAACGTTTTTAATCAATAAGTCCTTTTTGTATGCATATTAAATTTCACATGTCAGAATAGTAATTAAAGAGTTGCTTGATTTAACTATGAAAGCTTGTATGTAGTCGTACGGACGAGGAACGGAATCGTGTCTCATAACAGTTCTGAATATATTTTTTGTTTAAATAAACTTAATTACAAGCATTTTCGAATAGTCCCTTCCTCCTAATTTCGTCACAGAAGCACCTTTACTGGCCAGAGGATGCATTCTTACACTGTTCATGAGATTCATTTTAGGACTAAGAAGTTTGGCAGCTCCTACCTTTATCGAACCGTCAAGTTATGGAATTCTCTTCTGGGGTCTAAATTTCCTGCCAAGTATAACTTGAATTTTTTCAAGAGAGAGGCGTGAAAAGTATTTATAAGCCTGACTTTAACGATATTACAGTGAACTTTCACGAGATATCGTGCAATTCAACGTTTTGTACTGTACCGTGAACGTCCACGATACCGTGGAGTAGAACACTTTTGTCGAATTCTTTTGTCGATGCCATTTCTTTTATTATTACAAGTTTTTATTTAACTTGCATGTATATTTGATGGTTTATTTGTTTAGGTCAAATCTAGCACGTTGAATTAGAACCTACCATGGAACAGTCTGAACTTCGTATCCGAAATGAAACGCAATTGATATAACTATTGATAGCGATCGAAGTAAGATTGAATCGATCGAAGAAAGATGGTATAGCTGTGCTTTACGCGGCGAGGCACTTATTATCTTGTATTATGTATGTATGTATATATGTATTATGCAACACGCGCGTACCCCTGAAATTGCAGGCGTTCATAGGCTACGGTAATCGCTTACTATCAGGTAGGCCGTATGTTTGTTAGCCGCCTCAGTGGTATAAAAAAAATCTATTTAAGGAAATCAAAAAGAGTAACTGGGGAGTATCTTACAGGGTATAATACATATCATTGCTAGATAGATATATCGCGATTAGACACAAGTACTCAATCTATGTAACGTGCTCGCGATGTGAAAATTACAAAAGCCTTTATTGTTACCAAAAGAGTGAACACATTTACATGACGAATCTTTTCGAAAATTGTATCTGTAATGTGTGTTTATTTATTTTTTAAACCATTTTCAACATAAATTTCATACCAAACACTGTTTTAAGCTTATTTAGAGTCGAAACTTAGCATATTTTTAAATCAATGTCTAGCAAAAAATGCTGTTATCATTTGTAACCGTAGAATTACATAAAATAGAAATATATAGAAAGGTCTTAAACCTTTCTATAGGAGAGACCGCATTCATTGTTTTGTTTATCATATTTGCAACCAAAGAGTAGTAACGCCATGCGCCATCTTAATGTTGAAAATTGTGACTATTTGTGACACGCTTATATGAGCGTAAATAATTTTGTTTATACTCACGTATTGTTCCATGTAAAAAATAAAAGCATTTTACTTAGGTATACGCATGGCTTATATAACTGTGCCAAGAAATAAAGTTAACTAAGTAAAGAGATTGCTTTATGAATGTACGTTATATTTTCTCACGTTTCCGTTCAGTAATAACACGCTACCATTTTTTCACATGAATGTTTTCAGGATAAAATGCTTGAATTGTTTTATATAGGTATTTTAGCTCTATGTTAGTTATCATTAAAACTTTGATAAGTCATGCTTTAGCTACAAGTACAGTGAGATGACCCATTACATGTAATCACATGTAATTGATGTTATAAATGCGAAAGTGTGAGGGATGAATGGATGGTGAATTTTGTCAGTCTTTTACGCAAAAACTAATGAACGGATTTGAATGAAATTTAGTACACGGTTACGTTATATTCTAACTTTGCACATCGGGATACTTGACTTATACTTCCCGTGGGCAAAGCCGCGGGATATATATTTATCATATATTAGTTGAATGTAGTAATGGGGATTAGTGGCATTGATGAGGAGTGGCAATGAGGCAGGCAATGTAAATGTCAGATCGATCTTCTTGAAATTCTCCTTGGAAACCATCGTAGTTCTTGAAGAATTTGTTATCATTCCAATCCCAATTATCATCATTCACCTCGTCAGCGCTATAGCAATAGTGTAAGCAAAGTAATCATTTAATTTTAGTCCCCTACGAAAATTTCTCTCTTAAATGAAAAAAAAAAAAAACTAAAATCATGTATTAAATTGCAGAGTCGATGGATGCTCGTAGGTCAGTATCGATACTTAGTGATTTATTTTAAAGTAATAAGCCTTGTTTCTTTTTTTTTTCGGAACATTATACCTACACATACTAATTTTTCAAAAAAAAAAAAATTAAAAATACTTGTGTTGTCATCATGTAGAGAACATAAAATTGAAAAATATCTAATTAGTTGCCTGATAATATTTAAAAGCGAATAACTTTTCATAATGTTGAATTCTAAGTTTTATAACGACAAAGTATAAAATTATGCTTTACTGTTAGTATGTAGGTAGAATCATCCTCTAAATTTAGTTAATGCCAGGAATATTATTTTTAAAACTTATGTTCATTTTTATTCGATATCTATATACATATATAACGGGAAATTAATGAACTCTGTGTTTTGCTGTTTTCGATAATTGTTTCTACTTCATCCAGAAGTCTTCAAGAAGCGTTTGCGTCACTCGCCTCGTACTACAGACCGCAGCACAGAAACGGCAAAACGCAGTGAGCTCGTTAATTTCCTGTTACATATGTATTTAGACAACGCTAGGAAATTAAAAATATTTCGCTATTACCATTTACTGCGAAACCCTAAAATGTATCGATCGGACAGTTCACAGCATCATACAGCGTTATTTAATACAGATAAAGGAGCCACAAGTCAGAATGTAATATATATCTACGGACGATTGGGAAGTGTACACATGCTCCTGGCCAAACCTATTCATATCATTGTGCTCGCCTGCTGCTGATACTGACCTAATCGCAGGAAAAATATAAACTAGACAGTATGGCATGCTCGAAAATACCTATTATGCGATTATAACATCAACATTCTAATGTAA